TAATTAACACAAAGCATCCAAAACAGTCCAACAGCCATTTCAACTGCTGCAGTTATTAATCTTTACAAGGCAGCAAAAAGTGCCTAAAATAAAAATGACTTGTCACTGTCATGATTGTCATGAAATGTCTTGACATATGGTATCTGATTCTAGTAGCTAAAATTACAAAATAAATGTAGTGGAGTAAAAAGTATAATATTTGCCTCTAAAATGTAGCAAAGTCAAAGTATGAAGTAGTAGAAACTGAAAATACTCAAGTAAAGCACTCAAAATTGTACTTAAGTACAGCACTTGAGTAAATGTACTTAGTTACTTTGCACCACAGTTTTCCTCCCAAGAACCTCTCTCCTGTTTATGCGGTACATTAGGAACACTGACTTATTGATAGATCATCAGGTGCTCCATGTTGTTTGATAGACAGTCTGTTGGCTCGGAAATTTTTTCACACAACTAACACAAAACTCCAAGGTATGAGCGCACAGCTGGGATGAAAGCTAAGATGACACTGTAAGCAGACCTTTTGAGGATGGTGCGGTGATGTGGTGCAGGCTGGAAGAGAATCTGTTTCTGGGCAAAATCTGTTACAAGTGTATTTCAAATTCTGAGCAAATATAAAGGAGTGGTATGAACATTCACATCCTCCTTCTCTAACACAATGATTCCTGCCAGCAGACCAGCTAAAATTCCCCATACATCATCCTGTTACAAAACAGAGTGTCCCCAGGCTTTCAACAACAAATTAGATTGCGATTGATACAGTGTGTAATGGATAATTACATTGAGCGATACTTGAATGGTATCAGTCACATGCTGAATAAGCCAGGTGGAGACCTGCAGAGTTAAGTTTGCAAGCATGAAGCCTGTCACCAGCCAAACTGAAAGAAAGAAAGAAAGTAAGAAAGAAAGAAAGAAAGAAAGAAAGAAAGAAAGAAAGAAAGAAAGAAAAAAAGAAAGAAAGAAAAAAAGAGCTTTAGAAACAGATTAAAACAAAGGCTAAATCAACTCTGATAATATTTAAATTTATGATTTGATTTGGTCACTTGGGGGTAGCAGTAACAATTAGTGAACATAAGAGTGACATATTATTGCCTTTGAAGTTGAATTAATGAATGAATCTTTTTAGCTCAGTTTTTGGTCTCAATCAGTTTGATTTGATTTGATTTGATTTGATTTATTCTTTCAAGCATGTAAAGACAGTAGATATGTCAACACACATGAGTTCATGAGGTAATTAATTATCTGGCTTTTTAGCTGCTAAATTCTCCACTATGTTCACCAGCTAGTCATTGTCTTTGTCCCTCTGCTGTTTAGAACTTACCATGTAGTGTACAATGGGTTTACCAGAGCTTTTTGCTGAAAAAATTAAAATGGCTGCCTGTTGTGGGCTGTAACACCACACCAATGAGCTGAATGACATTATGAGGCTCTGCAGGGCTGAGGGGAGCTGCAGAGTTTGGGGCTAATGCTCTGTGGGTTTGTCTCTACAAGTGACCCCATTCACATTACATAGTTATTTGATTCATTGCTGATTTAAAAATGTCAAAAATAGAAGTTATTATACTTCAAACCATTCAGTTATGTAAATTGCTAGGAAATGTACTCCTAAAAAGACACGAGAGCACCACTTAGTAGCACTCAGAAAGATATTAATGGCCCCCGCTGAACACGCTAAGCATTCTGGTTACATGAACTCTGGTTCAAGATGAAGATAAAGCTTTCTGTTGTCTGGAAAACATCTGGGCTTATTTGTTTCAGCATGGAACAGAACAGAACATCATCTGCTCTGAAATAGAAATTTATGGAGCCATGTAAAGCAACTGGTCAAACTCTTGGCTATAAAGACTGTGTTATCTGATACTGATGTCCTCCTTGTTCAGCTACATGTAATCCATGTCAAAGAAAGAAGAACTCCCATTAGACCATTAAGCCATAAAGGCTTTTACTGTAAAATGCTCCCATTAAGGTAAGAGCATTGTTATGTATGAACTGACCAGTACATTCACCCAATCTTTTTTGTCCGATTCTATTAGCCTATACCCTGGAGCAGTAAACACAGAAAACAAGGTAATGTGAACAGACACACATTTGTTATCATTCCTTATCTTAGCAATAGCAACTACTCTCCTAACATTTTTCAGTGCACTCCTCCACAAAGGTTCAAACTTCAGCTGCCCTGAGGGTTCACAGTTACCACTTGTTATACACTATTATAAAGAGGCAAAAATGATTTCATGACAATAATTTACTATTTAGAGAACAATGAGCTTCTCTAATTAAACTGTTTGCAAAGTGACATGTATGAACTCTAGTAGCTTCAAACATCAGGTTGCAGTGTCACATCAGCCACATTTCCTCCTGTGGGTGAGTGCCTTCAGGTGGTTTAGGTAAATCCTTTTTCATGCCACTTTCAGCAGGTTTACATTTGTGCTTCACATCAGGTAGACTTTAACTACTGTAAAGTAGCAAAGCACCCTGCCGTGCATTTCTGGCAGATATCTTCAAATTCTTAGTCATCGGGGCTCCTGCAGCTGCTCTGTGAAATGATTCAGAAATGTGCATTCGTACATGCCTTCAACAAATTAGTTTCAACATTAAAAAAAAGCCCCTATCTAAAGAACCAAGCAAGCAAATACCTGCAGTAGTTTCTCTAAGTAGAAGTCAGGCATCTTGTGTAAAGTTGGGTGTTATATTTCTCCCTGTTTCTAGTCTTTATGCTAAGCTGAAATAACTGGCTGCTGGCTGCAGCTTTATGTTTAGCAGGCAGATGTGAGAATGTCAATTATCTACTTAGCTAAATCTGAGCAAGAAAGTGAACAAACATATTTCCCATAAGATCAAACCATTCCTTAAAGATATATTATTTGCAAGCTACAGCTACATGCATATATTAGGGATGTGGACTTATATGCAGTGACATTTTTATAGAGCTTATACTGTAATAGCACAAAAAATGACAGTGGACCCAGCTCTAATGTGTACATTTGTTCCATCTGACCCTCTTCAACTAAAACCGCTAGGATGCACTGAGGGGATTTTATAATTTCATGCTCCTGTTCCCATTTTAGGGATTTAAACTAAAACTTCTCAAAGCAGCATACATCTTAACACAACTGGCTTAACATTAATTTAACCTCAATCACACAGTGAATAAAAAAAATCCCCACAAGTAAAAGTCAACACGGTGCAAGAACCACACGAGACCAAAAAAGCAACTAGTGCACAAAATAAGAACTAAAACTACTGGGCAAACATTCCCCCCACTCCCCCAGAGTAAATGAAAAAGGCATAGCGGATTAGTACACTGTCGCAAAGCTCATACTGACCTAGAAATATGTGTGTTCGTCACAACTAAAATAGGAGGCACGTGTGTATTTTATTATGTGCACGTGAATGTTTTTAAGTGTGTGTCTGTGCCTTAAGTGCAACTAAGCTCCAGTCATATCAGGGCACCTAATCCCTTTTCACAGGCCTTCTTATGTGAGAGCAAATGCTCAACATCCATCTGAGTGGAAGATTCTCATAAAACAATCTATGCATCCCTGTGTTAATGTCATGAACTGTATTCACATTACAGATAAAATTAGAGTTTTGTGCACTGACAGGCAGGTGGGATATAGAGGAGCAGAAGTGAGGAGCAACTGAAAAGCAAATGGAAGTAGAGAACGTGAGGGATAGGTGTGTGTGATGAACTGTTTTACTAGGAAAGAAGGAGGGAAGGAAGGAAGGGCGAAGGTTGCCATTTGCCCAACCAGCAACACTGAGTTCTGATCATATGAAGACACACACACTTACACAGACATACTGTGCTGTCAAACCAGAACATCCAGTGGGCAAAAATCATCTGAAATGGTTTTGCCAGGTACTGAGAGTCGGCAGAAGTTCATTTTTCCTTTCTCAAATACGAACACATACGCAACATCTTATCTCCCACAAACAGATGTGCATGTTCCACATTTCTTCATATCAACATCATGCACGCTGACAAAGTAACATGTTGCACTGTGTGTACTGTAAGTGTGCGTGTTTGTCAAAGAGAGAGAAAAAGAGAAAGAGAAAACTATGTGACTGCGCATCAATCAGCTCTTATTTCACAACCAAGCATTCACCAAAACCTCTTACACAGGCCACAGCACTTTACAAAAACCCTTTATACACCACACACACACACACACACCAACACATGCATTCATCATCTTTGTATTTTCTCCATCTTTGCTCTCTTTCACAGCTTAATTGTAGCTTGCAAGTTCTCACACATACATGCACACACTCACTGACTACAGGAAAGCACGAGAATTGAGCAGGCTAACCATCAGGAACAAATTTCCATATCACTCTTTCATCCTGTTCCTGCATTTGGCTTCTCATTTATCTGTTTCTATAGTCATCATAAATGATGAATATAAATAACCACATGAAGGAGGAGCAGGATATAAGAGGTAAAACCTTTGAAACAAGCTTCATTTCTAAAAATGTTTCTTTCTAACATCCAGAAAAAGGCAGGAGGTTATGGTGAATTGTGGTGTTTCTTGTGCATGTAATTCTAAGTTGTTTAATGAAGTTTAGGAAACTCTTTCAATAAACAGCAACCTGAAAAAGAACTGCACCTAACAATAATTCAGTGTTATTGTTATTTCACACATTTATTTTGTAGAATGATTGATGAGAAGGATGATTGTTTTGCTTGAGAAATTGCTTAAACTTATTGACTAAACGTATTGTTTCAGTAAATTTTATATTATAATTTATATCATTAAATTATTGTATATATTTTTGCAAAGAATTAAAAATTACCTTCAAGTCAGCCTGAGTTATCATACTCTTCTCTTTAAAATTCATCACTCTACTGTGCTTTTATCTAGCTAAAACGAGAGGAATCTGGAGATTGCATATTATTGTTACATGTCTACAAGGACTTAATAAGATAAAAAGTGATTCATCTTTATTATAGACAATCTTTGGGTTTAGGCCTCGCGCTGCTGAGCAGAAGCTACTCGTGAGCCATTTCTTTAGGGTACAGTCGTTAGCTTAACTTAGCAGTAGGTAGTGTTAGCCTGCTAGCTAGGAAACTGTTCAGTTAGCTATTTATGTAGTTAGCTGTCACATTGACGTTTGCTGTTTTGATTCTCAAACCTGTATGCGGATACAGAAAGAGCATCTCTTATTCATTGCTTTTATATAACTCTTCCAGCAGAAGCCAACTGAGAGGGAACTTAACCTAACTAAGGTAGCTAACAGTTAGCAAAATGTGATTTAAAATAACTACATGCTAGCTAAACTGGAAATAATAGAGTTAACGCTAATTGAATCTGACTGTATGTGTAGCTAGCTTTTAACGAGAGTCAATACTTTTTAGTCAAATAAAATAAGGTACAGGAAAACGAATGCAGAGAATTTAGTTATCTTATTTGGGTTATGTATAATAGGCATGGTGTACAAGAAATCTATATTCTTTGTAAAGTGCATTTATGCCAATGAAAGAATTCAGCTGAACAAATACAGAACACTACAAGATACATGGTAAATGTGAAGGATAGTCTGGATTAGAAGAGGAGAGCTGAGTCAGGGACAGATGAGAAAGGCATGAGATAAAACGACAAACACACCCTTCACATAATACATCCTTTATATTGGGTCTTAAACATAAAATAGCCCTTCTCTATGAAGATCAGAACAGAGCAGGGGTTCTATAACCCCAACTATAAAGAGTGCTCAGAACTTAGCTTTGGAAGGGATTAGCTCTGTCAGTGACTTTTGCTCTGACTATAGGACTAGTCCAGACCTCCAGATGTTTTCTATTTTGCCTCTGTTTTGAGGTATGCTTCTTTGGTCATTGTTTACTTGTTGGAATGAGCAGACCGTTTTTGTTATTGCTTTTGCATCTACAAAGTAATTCATCAATCAAATATGACAGGGGATTGTGAACAAACTTGTCCTCTGTAAGCATATGTAGTGCCACACCAGACCTTGGACACAGGCTGATAAAGGCATTTTGCTTGTATTTGCAATAATTTATTATTAAAGCATAACTGTTGTTGACAACTTAGCATTTGAGTCAGTTATCTTCATATTAGTATACTGGTCTGGTGTTATGAATTGGTCCTAAAAGCAACTTTAGTGAAGTGACGAGAAACTCTTTAATCCTCTGTCATGGTGTTGTGGACACAAATTTGTTGCCTTATTTCTGTTTCAGCAGTTTGGTCACAGTCTGTGGTCCTGTGTATTCTTGCCCACTGACTTGTGGAAATGAAATAACTAATAATACTGATGTGTGTCTAAATAAAGGGCCGTTGATATAGCTAAATAAGGGTTTTTTCTTCAGTAATGATGATGCTAGCAACAAAAAAAGACATACAGACAATTTCCATAATGACATGGGTTCAGATGGTGCGATTGACTGTGAAATGTTGGAGGTTTTCCCTTCTCCGTCCTTCTGGCCACATCCTCTGGGTATTGGCAGGTGCACAGATTGCCTTTTTCCATCTGGTTATACTTGTGAATCTGTAAAACATGAACGAATGAATAAATTCCAGAAATATGTTGATTACATAGAAGGTTGTAAAAGCCTCAGATTGGGGCTTAGAATGAGTTTACAGTCTTCAGTGCTATATATGGAGATTTTATCTGTGTAAAAAACCCTTCAGTGGCTTGACCAGTTGAGGGAGAATTTTTTTGGCAAGATACAGTATGTCTCTGCATATGCCTCATGAACTTTCTGCCTTCTGGCTACTTTCAGCCATGAAATAGACCCTTTTGAGTCATTACTGCACAAACCTTTTGCAAACTTTTTCACATTAACCTTTTCAGAAATAAGAAGCCTCTGAATTATGGGAAACTGGACCATTTATAACTTTCTTACATAATCTTCCCTGTTCATTATAGCATATTTATTCATGTTCTTTTTACAGTGGTGCTTACTGCTGATGATTAGGATGACAGCTAACATGCAATGAACATTGTTGTCTCATGGGCTTATCATTACAGGGCAATGGCTTGTCCTTGTGTTTACTATGTTTTGTAGCAGTAACTGGATTTCCTCCTTGATTTAATGGAACTGTTGTTAAAACCTCTATGAAATGTTTTGCTTGTTAACACTTGACATTTGTATAGGAATTTGCTTGTTGTTTTGAGATGTCCCTGGACAACAGAAAGAGGCCAGCAGGTTCCTCCAACTCGGGGAACTTGGTTTTTTGGTCCTCCTCTTTCCAGCGGCAACCAGCCAGAGTTCTAATTGTGGAGGCACTGCCACCCTGGTGGTCAGAGACCTGTCCGGTGCTCTGTGATGCCCTGGATAACTTCTTGTCCCTGGCTTGTAGTCTGGATGGACCCTGTAGGATCCCACTGCTCAGCCCATTTGTGGTAAGATTGATAAAGGTGAAGTCAACAGAAAACATTTAGTCTCTTTCTTATTATTGCTTTTGCTAATACAGTCTCTCTCAACTCTCTAGACTTTATTGTTTTCTGTCACCCACATTATCTTTTAGTTTTATCCTTTTTTGTCATCCTAGCAGGTTCGTGGTAACCTGGCCAGGCTGCATTCCTGTGTGGAGGAGCTGAGGTCTATTCCAGGTGAAGGCTGTATCAGAGGAGCAGCCAGAGGAGGCGAGCTGCTGCAACAGGCAGTGCTGGACAGTCTGCAGCAGTTTAAACAGTACATCAGACACACCAGTCCCAGGAACCAGTTCAGCAACAACACATCTGTAGAGGTTAGCACAGATAGACTCTGTTTATGCACACCCAGCATATCAAGAAAACAAATTGTTTTTTACTGTAAGATCACACATTGCAGAAAAATCATTGGTATTTATCAGTTAAGGCCTATTCATGCTTCCTGTGTCCACTACAGTCCAGCGACATACATTTTGCATCATCCCAGTTCTATGCATGTACCAGAAAACCAAAATAGACACCTCAACACGTGTGGACCATGTCTTGGGAAAACATCAAACTGTGTATGCTTTGAAAATGTCAGCATACATGGACAGAAAGTACACCCTGAAATGACATGCATCTCAGGTTGACTCTAAATGGCTGTGAAAGCCTATCGTAGGCCAACATATTACTCAACAAAATACAGTGATGAAAACAAGGTTTTATTTTCTGTGATTCAAGGTCTGAAATGGAGATGCTGGGGATTGAACCCAGGGCATCATGTATTAAAAGTATGCACTAGATGTTATGAATTGTTTTGCAGTTTCACTTTTCAGACCTTTTGACAGAAATTGGACCAGTGCCAATAAATACTAACTGCTAACCAGGCACAGAGTTTATAGCTGTATGTTTATAAGTGCATTAAGTCTATAGTTTGGTGCAGTCTTTATAGTTTTGGTGCTGCAGGCATTTGAGCCCAGAACCTCATAAACATAAACCATGCTCTGAGCTACACTCTACTTCTCCTTCTTCTCCTCCTCTTTAGGGACCAGACACACACCTCCATGATGAAAGCTAAGCACTGAATCTCTTCTTTGTTCAATTTCAGTTGTCAAGCTACAGCACAGTGCATTACAGCCAACATCTGCTCGGGGGTGGGACAGTCCAGTTGCTTTTCTGAGTCTCTGCTTGCAAAACGTGTACTCTGATGACCTCATAGTCAGTGTTTTAATACTATACTGCAATACCAAAGATCAAACAAATCACTTTTTGTGATCTCCAAATAGAGGTTAATGATAGCTCATGCGCTGTCTGCATTAACATTTAAAATGAGCGATTAAGGATTAGCGACAACAAAAAGTTGTATTATATACTTTATTATCATACAGTTGCCAGCCATGTCTTAGTTGGCTTATGTCATTATTTTTTTAAAAAGATTACCTTTCCCTGTCAACATGAAAGTGCAAGTGTAGCATTTATACATTTATCCACAGCATTTTTGAGAATCTCAATTTTCGGGTATGAAGGTCGCCAAGTTAGAGTGGCCGGAGGACAAAATGAACAAAAGTACTGTTACCGAACATAGCTGCAATAGTTGTTACAGTTTCTCCCCCCATCCACGCATTCTGAACAAAAGGAAAATGGCTAATTTTCTTCTTTCTTATTCAACTGACTTTGGAAAACAATAAAGCAGATAGAGTGATAACAAGAGAGCTTTGTAACTCTGCTGAATCACAGTTGTGTATGGTGTTTTTTTTTTTTAACTGCCACACCCATGATTCTCATTTACATTTTTGCCTGTTTCTCTAGTTAGACCACCGAGTGAACACTAAATTGTGCTTTGATTGCAGATCATGAACAATACCTGTAAGGTATCAGTAGCTGTTGAGCTGCTGCATATAACACAAATACAATTTAATGATAATGGTTGTGTTATGTGTTTGGATATATTAATATCAGAAATGAGTGATCACAGGCAGAATTAGAGTTGATGGAAAGTTGTTCCTCTAACTTACTAATGTACAGTGTCAGACCAACTTATTAGGCTAACATGGACCACAAAAGCTCAGTTTCCCCCATCTACTCTAAAAAGTCAGACTTTAGTTTGTCCCCTATAGACATCAGTTATGGAAGTTGTAACAGAAACCTAACACACGTTGCTATCTTAATGGTTAAGTAGTTTCTATTTCAGTAATGTGACAAAGCATCAGGGAGTGTAGTATCTCCTTAACCAGATTGAGGTCCTCTATATAAGAAGTGGAGATGCTGGGGATTGAACCCAGGACCTCATACATGCAAAGCATGCGCTCTACCACTGAGCTACATCCCCACATTTGTCCTTTTGCAGCATATCCATATCAATCAGAAAAGGGATTCAGTTTGAGCATGCAGTAGATGACAATACTGTAGTACAGCATGCAGTAACCATTGTGAGATTTGCACATCTGTATTGAATATGAAGTAATTTCCTCCAAATAGCTGACAGTTTGTCTATTATGAAGTTCTGAGCTAGTCTTCGGCTGCAGACAAGCTCAGACTGAATAGAGCCTCTTTGAGATTCAAGCTTTGTATTTCACACTAATGTAGGGAAGAGGCTCCACTTAAACCTGTTAAATGAGCTCTCTTCAAGTCCAATTCAGTCTGTTTAGCAGCTGCAAATACATATTGAATTTGGAGCCTCATTAGCATGTTTTTAAAGGCTTTAAACATCCTTGTTAGCAGTCCATTTTAGTGGCTGAGAACTCTTCACATCCTACAGTCCACTTAAAACCAGCTCATGTACATTTCAAAAACAGCAAATGGGCTCAATTCATCTGTTGCTGAGCCATCTGTTGGGAAAAAGTTGTACAGCTGACAGCAGAAAAGCTTCAGTGGTTCTCAGTGGCTTCCTGCTAGAATATCCAATCAGCAGCCTTTTGACTGCACAAAATATTTAAACCAGTTTCCTTATTGAATTTTGAACAAAACTCCACTCAGTAATGTTCATAGCCTCATTAATGGAATTGCTGCCATCATTAAAAGATCATAGCTGACACTTGAATGCAGCAGATTTAACAGAACTCTTAATTCCTTTTAATATGTGTTATGTAATTCAGAGCCAGTTTTGGGCTAAAACTCTGTACAGAAACAGACCAGAGACAGAAATACAACACAGTATTAGATGTCAGCAAACAAAAGTTTAGGGGAAAGGACTCTAAGCAGATATTAATTAAAACATCTCATTTTTCTAAATTTAAATGTTTGTTGAAAAGATGAAGCCAGCTGAAGAATGTGCCAGCCACTGGCCTTCTTGTAAAATTTGAACACCATGTTCTCTATAAAGTTGTTGATGAGGATTTCTCAAATCCAGCCTGGTTTTGTTAGAAAGTCATGAACAGATGATTACACCAAGACTCACTGTTTCTGACAGCAGCAGATATGAATAGCACTATTAGGAGAGAGAGACATTAAAAGCTGTGACATGGTCTTGTGCGTGTGTGTTGCCTGTCAGTTTATACAATACATTCTTTTGTGCATATATGCCTTTCCAGCATTTATGTATGTGTGTCTTTCTCAATGATGTGTGTCAGACTTTAGCAGCAGATTCTAATTTTGGCTAAACTACAGGAAGCACAGAGCAGAACACATCAATTATTGTGTTATAATCATCATTTTCTGCTACTGTTAGTGTGATTCAGTAGAGTGCTCACCATCAGCCCAACATTAATTTAGCTGTTTACCCCCATTAGATACATAAATGCCACAGAACTAATGAACTAATTTCATCCCATCAGATATACTTATTTTAAGATGTACAAACATTCTGCAGACATTTTCATCATCAGAAAATTAATGGTTTAGTGAAAAACATGTTACAGTGCAATACAGAAGTTTTGTTCCTTTGTGGAGTCATGACTTCTCAGATAAGTTACACCGATCATAAGGCATGAGGGCAGTTAAAGCTGAGTTTATCCCATGAAAACTTGGTTTTACAGTATGTCATTTTAATGTTGTGTCATTAAAACATTTCTGTTTTTTGGGAGTTTGCTCAGCTGGGACTAGGGCAGCAGTTCTGACATCATGTATTTAATCTACTAACTAATTTGATGTATGAAATGTTCTGGAAATACAAGAGAAGCGTTACGGTCAGATCCAAAGAATGCTTTGTTGTGGTGATGTTATGGCCTGTTCTTTGTACGATATGACAGTTTAAAACAAGTACTTGATCCTTCAGAAAGCCAGCTGGAACAATTCAAAAGTGGCCTTTTGGGAAGAAGTGTTGCAGAGGAACAGCAATGTGGCTTAATAAAAATAGAATTAAAACTGCTAGAAGTTGTTTAATGCAGTTGTGGAGGAGCAGCAGTATAGGTTCACGACAGATAACAAGCACGTATTTGTTATAGGATGGGGACATCAAGCTGTGATGTTCAGAATGTTGTTTTGCCCCTGTGTTGGTATGCTAATGTCGAAGGAGCAATCAGTAACAACCATCATAAGAAATACTGCAAGAAAGCTGTGACGTTTGCTATGAATAATAGCTTTCAGAGGGTGATTCACAGTCATCTCAGAGGTTGCTGACTGTGAGGTCAAAATTTCTCTTTGACCAACATGTCGCATCTATCATGTATATTTGTGCCCATCAGAGGGTGATTTGCTTCCTGTTTCATTCGTACTGTGAGCTGGGTCTCAACAGGTATTTTCCAGTGAAGAGCAGCTCTAAAAAATGCAACCATCAAATTTTTTTTCCTCTGTCTGTTTTTCTTTGGCAATTTGCATCTAATCTTATGCTCTTTCAAGTGACTCAATCCATTCTATAAATTAAAATATTTTAATTGTTTTTGATGTCCTTTGAGTTCTTTTTGTTTCCTGTTTACAGAGACGTGTTTTCCATTTCTTCTTGATATATTCCCAGGTTACTGTGATCACCAGCCAACCAGGGCGTGGCATTGTCCGCCACTTGGAAATGGGGCTCAAAGATGCTGATCTGGTGTCACTCAAGCGGCTCCTGGTGGTACAGATCTACAGTGCAGGAGAGTGGGGCCAGGACACTCCCTCACCTGAGGCCACTCATACTAAGACTGATGGTAGGAGAGCTCAAAATATACACTGACACAAGTTTGGATCACAAACTGCCGTGCACACAGTTAGTAGGCTGGGACATTGACACATGGGGAAGACACACACACACACACAGTCAAACAACATGAGCAAGGTCTGTTTCCTAAGCAAACATGACTCCCCCTCACTTTCCACATATTTTTTCCCTGTGCTTTCATGATCATCTTAGTTGAGTTGTGCAGTTTGCCGTTTTTTTTTGTTGTTGTTTTTTCTGTTTCATTGCACTCAACACTGGAGACATGTCACAATTTATAGAACTTGGCCGCCATCCTCATGTTTTCTCAGACAGCCTAATTTCATAATGAGATGTCTTTCTTTGTAATCGTGTGAAGGTTCAAGCAGTGTGGTCTGAATAAGTAGAGAGTGCACTGAAGATCGGGTGGAAATGAAGGGTAGAAAAAGCCGAGAAATGGAAAGTGAGAAAGAAATAAAAAAAAAAACATGCAGCGAGGAGAGAAAAAGTAAGAAAGGGGTGTGGTAAACATGCAGGGAATTCTTTCTTGTGAAAATATTTATGCACCCTGTGAAGTATTTATTGCATGGTGATAGTCACCTGTGTCAAGGGAGAAAATGTCTGAACTGACTGAGAGTTTGTTTTCTCTTTAATTCTCTGAGGCGTAGAAACATCGTGCTCATGAGTTTAAACTCTCCTGGTACAGTTATGTTGGTTATGAAATGCTGCCTGCAGTCTTGTTCATTGTCGTATATCCGCCTTTGTTATTTTTACATCATACTATAAAACAATATGTTAAGGAGTTGTCCCAGTTCTCCCCTATTAAATCTTGTTTTTGTCCCACTGGAGTTTTTCAAAAACAGAGCTACTTGGTTTTCACACATCAATCAAAGCCAGTAGCAGGGCTAGCAAGTACTGCAATGAACATCCTGGACTTTGTAGTGTAATCTTTGGCAAGCAAAGATACAAACTTTGCTTTTTATTGTCAGACACAAACTAAGCTGAAGCTGAGATCGT